GCGGTTCCACACGCTACGTATTGGTTTCAAGAAACGGATACTCATCGGTAGTGGCTGTGAAACCGTTGCGGATTTGTTTCCTGTTCTGTCTCTGAGGGCAATCGGAGAGCAATAATACCTTATTGCCCTCCGACTATGAACATGATACAAATGAGAAAGGTTTCAGTTTCTGATTCCCAACAAGAAATGCTTTCGTTCTTGTTTCACAGATTAAACATGTATAGAATAAGCCATATGGTGTCCCTAAATTTTATGGCCCACAGAAATTTCAGACCTCTCAGACCCTCATAAAATTTACCCAATTTTCGGCACTCTACCTGATTGCCCTCAGAGGAGAAACGAGTAAGACCAAGTATTCTTACTATTTCCGAATGTGGTCAAGAAATGCCTCCGTTTGGTTTACGGAAGAGTTTCTCGTAATACCTGAAACCGGTTCAAAATTCCATGATGCGCTCGAGGGAGAAAAGTAGTGCAATAAAACATCTGTTTTACAGAAAATAGGCAGAGAAAATGCAAAGTATGAAAAAAGGGTCATAAAACAAGGCTCGGGTGTCGGGATGAAGCAATGTTGGGAAATTCCTTCACTAAAACTCATCTGAGTTGTCGATTTAGTTAAGTTCTGGTCGTGGTTGAATGCAGAACGAGCAGAGTGCAGTTCTTCATCGGATAATAAGGTGAGAAAAATTGCATTTATTTAAGTACATTTTGGTGAATTTTCAAAATGTGCATTGATTATGCTGTTGTAAAATAAATTGAGAGAAAATTTGATCTAAATTCTGCGCGTATAAACAGTAAAATTTAATAATTTTATCGTTTTTCAGATGGACAATGAAGCCGCGGGAAATTTCACGGAATCCGGGATAAGATGACGCCGGAAAGTGCTATAGGTGGCCAGATTCAGCATAATCAACACTGCCGTTTGGACAAAAATATATATTTTAATTGTATTGGATTCCATACAAGAAATAAATACGAAATTGCTTCCAGAAATAACTACGAAATTATTTCTTGCAATAGGAACGAAAATATTTCTTGATTGAATTACGAAATTGTTTCCTGTAGTAAGTATGAAATTATTTCTTGCACTAGTTACGAATCGATTTCTTGAAATGTCTCGGAGGGCAATTATCCTTTTTTTTTCTTCGAGGTTTATTGCCCTTCGCGCCCGAGCGTAGGGGCAATAAAAAAAGGGATGATTACCTACCGAGACATTTCAGGAAATCGTTTCGTCGAGGTAAAAGTGAAACGCATCCAATGTAAATTCCCCATAAGCGTTATGGGTCGGAAACAGTTTCTTGAAACCTATACGTAGCGTGTGGAACCGCAACTGGGAGCCTTCGTTTTTCACGGCGACTTATAATGTTTATGGGTGTCTTTTTTATTCACCTCCCTTGGAATGGGAAGGAAAGAAGCATAAAGAGATTTTCTCGACTTGTGACATTCGTGTGTATGTTTGAGAGAAAAACATGGAAGAAGAGTTGGAATGGAGGAGAGAATGAGTGACAAGGAAGGCTGTCTCGAGCATTGTGTTGCCTCCCAAGCATAACTTATGTATAGCGACGAGAGAGAGACGATATGAAATAACTCTTCCTGCAACTCTCGATGCATCTCAACATCAGGGGAGTCACACATCACAAGGTGCTCCAAAAGGCCAGAGAATATAATCTCAAGAGAGCCCAACAATGATTTTATACAGTATGATCAGCATATTCTTCCACTTTTGCTACAATTGCTGGCGTTTGTTGCATGCCTTGATGGCTTCACTTGTCTGTATTTCTCTGTTGGCTCTTCTTTCTCAGGTGAAAGAACTCGTGTCCTTCAACATCATCGTCACACAACTTACATTTTCTACGTGCTTTTTTCTGTACGCTTTCGGCTTGTGGAAAAAAAATCTCCACATATTCTTTTCAATACAGATTGTTACTGCTCAGAAAATTTGTTTACTCGAGAGCAGAGAGATTGTAGAAAGAGAGATGGCGATGGTTCTTTCGCTCCCACCTTACGTGCTCGTGGAGGCATTTAAAAAAGAAACAGTGGGAAATTCACTCACTGGGCGTCCTTTATGTTTCTCCGCTATATTTGTAGTATTTATTTGAATAATTAGATCAAAGTCGAGATTGCCTATGTTGAAAATTAATTATTTCCCCCTTCTGTGTTTCGGGAGAGAGTGAGATATAGAGCAAATTTGACGATTCTCATGGTAAACAGGGCTGGAATTGGTTGTGAAAGTCACATGTCATGTGCATTCTGTTTGATTATATTTTGGGCAAATGTTTATCTTGGTCGAAATTATGGGGCCAAATTGCTAAATCTGGGTAAAATGCCTCAGTTCTAGGTCATGCTGTTGGATTGAGTGATGACATAATGGATTCTGTGCGACTTGTCTTGATAATCTTGAGCGATAACGTGAACGTAAGCATGCAAATAACTTGTTCTAGTTCAATGGATTGAAAGCAAGCGACCTTAACCTTACCTTAGCATCATACTTTATTTTGCTCTTTACTATTTTTAAAACTAAAATACAGACATGGTCAATTGGGTGAAATTCTATCAGGGTCGCAGAAGTGTGTGAGGTTGTGTGCAAGATAGGAAGAAAGCTGGGAAAGAAACTTTCCTGTCAATTAATAAATCGATTGTGTGTTAACATGCTTGTTAATGTTGTTGGCTATAATCTTCCTCATATGGTACCGCCAGATCTCGATGATGTGGCTTTCGGAGAAAAAGAACTGGCAAGAGAATATCCTCATTATTTTTGCACGAGCGAAATATATAGTGGCGCAGAGAATTGTGGAAAAAAGGGTTCACGTTCAGATGGGCTTAGAAAGAAATTTCTCAACATTTAATTGAATGAATTGACAGCATTTCTGTATAACATTAATGGGGATGACTGGAGAATGTACAATCTAATAAGTGTCTGTATTAGACTGTGGGTATTTAATATTAATTGCGCCGTTTTCCGTTTGTGCGCGATTGAAATTTATAATTGATAACTGGATATCGCAGAGATGAGAGGCTAAGTGGTATGTGGAGGCCTACGAGAGAGGTATTTTACTTAATATCTTGTCAATTGGCCGATGGTAGATATAAATAAGGGGCACGTGCGACATGAGACACACTCTCTGCTCACCGCCGATTTTAAAAAGACAATCACGTTCACTTGCGCGTTAGATTTTATTCATTTATATTCAATTTAATTCATCTATGTGGATGACATTTTTTCTCGTTCATCGATCTCCACACACGCTCCATTCAATTTTTCCTCGCTGAATGCACGCGCGTATGAAAATTCACTTTAATTGCTGACGCCATATCGTGGGTCAGCTCTGCTTGTGACTCATTCATTTCTGATGGCAATGATGCCAGCGAGAGAGAGAGAGAGATACTTTAGAATGGATTCTGAAAATGTGCTGCGCCTCCCCATATTTCTGCGCCTTCCAGATTCTTGGAGATCAATCGTCAATGGCATAGATAGCGGCAGGTCGCGAGGGGGGCAGAGAGTGTGTGTGCGAGTGTGTGGCAAACACGTTTGAAGTATGCGGCCAAAATATTTAGAAAATGTGCACAACGAACGGACATGACCACAGTCAATAAAAATGTGTGCAGTTCGCGTTTGAGAATTGAGGTATCAATGTTGGAAATTTTCCATAAATTGTCAATATTTGTGACGTTCTGAAATGGGAGCTCAATCCTCATGATCCGCACTTGATTCAGCCCAGTTTATCATGTATAATTTCATTTAAAATTGCTTCTTTCAACAATATTCCAAGTGCAACAGTCTCTTTTTAGGGTAACAAAGTCACTTACTATTCCCCCTACGATATTTGATGAGATCATGATTTATAAGGCTGTTAATTAAAAATATATCATTTAATTATATTCTCCACTTTTTCACGCTCATGCCGAAATAGTTTCTCATAATGGGGATTAGTGCCTGTCTAAAGCACATTAGAGTGCTCTATTCTGGCGCAGGCTGATTGTAGCATGAATTGTTGAGAAACAATTTTCGGGGGTTCTATAAAAGCTGACCATTAGTGTGAATTAATTTAAAATAATTATCTCAATTCGTAATGAACGTTTGTAAATGTTAAAATTTCACTTATGCTTGGCCGTTGAGTTATTCATAAAGCCATGGGAGCGATAAAGAGCAGTCGTTTCAGCCGTTTTGGCAATTTCTCTCGCCAACCCGCGAATACTTCATGACACATGCAGGAAATGTGATAAGTTGACCCTTGGGAGAGATCATTGGGTTTCAGCAAAGGGGATTTCTGGGAAGACTGAATCACCATTCAGCCGGACGTTTTGAGAGCGATCCTGTTTATTTTCAGGCGAAAGATAAATTATCAAATTTCTCGTGACCGTATTTATGTTGAAAGTCTTATCGCAAGACGCTTTTCTCGGTGCGCGAAGAGAGTGTTGCGCGATGGTCTTGTGCGAAATGAATGTCTCGACTGTGGAATAAATTGCAAAGGCTGTCTCTTCGGGTGTAGGTAGTCTCGCGGGGTGATAAAGTCCGAGTGAATGAGAGACATGTAGAAGTGCATTAAGAGAAGTGCGCCGACAGGCCTCGTGAGCAAATTATAAATAAGGTCGCCGGTGAAATTTGATGGCAATGCAGTGAGCATTGATGGTCGAGGAGAGTTGGTGTGGCGGAAGAGGAGAGGGCGACATGAGAAATCTCTCGCGACATAGGCAGCTGCAACAAGTCCATTGAAGAAAAGAGCTCAAGAGATGGGGGAGAGAGACAATAATCGAAGTGATTGTGGGACACAGACATTCACTGCCAGACAAATAGACAGACAGACGGTCAGACGGATTGGGAGAGACAAGAACGGGCGCGCAAAAAGGGGAAGAAATGGCCAGTGAATGCCGTTGTCTTGGTTAGTCCTTGACTAAGGACGCCCGGCAAAGAGCCCGCGGGGCGTTGCAATTCACTCGATCATGATCTTGAATATGTTGCGCTGGCAAAATGTTGATTGGCTTCTTTTCTGTATCTCTTGCAGGCTGCAATTCTCCAACAGACGGCAGAGTTTGTCTACAATCTGGAACAGGACAAGAGTCGTCTCATGTCTAATGTGTCCTACCTGAGGGAGTTGCTAATCAAGAACAACATCAACCCGGATTTGCCGAGTGTGAGTGTGTCCAGTACAGTCACAACTTCCGCCACGACGTCCACTGTGTCGGGAAAGAAGCGCAAGTTGGACAATGTGATGACAATGCAGACCATCTCGGACTCATCGGATGAGGGGCTGGGTTCCATGTCACCGGAGCCCCTCACCTTTGTCACAGTCATGACGAAACCCAGTGGGGCGATCACAACAACGACATCGGCGTCCGCCGCAACGACAAACAGCATTCTGGCCAAGGAGGTGGTCGAGCTGAAGCACCAGCTGGAGATCGAGCGGCGCCAAAGAATGATGCTGGAGGATCAGATGAGACAGTTGGAGTGCCAGGTGTACCCCGAGCGACTGGGTCGCGAGGAGCGCATCTATCAGCATCAGGAGGTGATTGAGCACACGGACAACCTCCGCATGGACGAGACGGAGCTCCTGGGCGGGCCAGAGGAGGGTGTAGAGGTGATGGAAGAGGAGGAGGAAGAGGAATCCCTGCTGCCCAGTGACTCCATGACGAAGGTCTCCCTGTCGCAATTGACTGAGCTGCACCAGTCGCACGAGCTGCCGGATGTGCAAGTGGTGTCGCTGGACAGTTTGCCGACCACTGGGCAGAATGTGGTTGTGTGTTCCCCTGTGCATGAGATAAACATCGAGGAGTCTCGCGTGGTGTCGCCCAGTCCGGTGGTGGTGGAGTGCAAGAACGAAGTGGAGAAGGTGGAAATTACCACGAAGCAGCGACTGCAGCCCATTCTCGAGGCCGTGATCAAGGCTGAGCCCAAAGTAGAGGTTGAGCGCATCAGCAATTCACCCGTGAGTCTCACCGTGGTGAAATCTGAGGATGCCACATCGTCGTCTGCGGCGCAGTCACGGATGTACCTCACGTCCACGTCGCGGCAGAACCTTGAGACGATCGTGGAGGCGATCAGGCACCTCGAGGGCGATCACTTGTTCGGCGAGACGACTCAGGAGCAACCCACCCAGGAGGCACCGCTCGCTCTCACCACGCACAACAAGCAGCCCGGCCATCTGCAGCCTCATCACGCGCACACCCGCAAGATTCACGTTGACGTGAATCCATTCCTCCACTTCCGGTCGGCCGGCGCGGCCACGGCGCAGCACCTGCAGCAGCAGTGCAGGCCGGGTGTGATCGTGGTGAAGCAAAACTCCTGATCTGGAGGCGTAACAAGTGGGCGCAGGAGTGGGCTTGGACAGGGATTGGCGGCGGTCAGCGGTGATGGTATCGTGTGTGTCGTGGACAAGTTTTGATGCTGAGAGAGGGAGGGAAAGAGAGAGAGAAAGCAGATGAGATATGTGACTAAATAATTTTTAAGGTGAATAACTTCTTTTAGATTTACACTGATAACTACTATCTTATTTTAGATAAAATGTAACGATTAATGCAACAAGATTACACATTCGCATGTGTTTTTAGTCATTACCGTAGAGTCAGATCGTACACAGAAAATGCCCCCTAAATTGTAGGGTGAAAAACAAAGGACTTTTATCATAAAACTACATTCAATGTACCATCGCAAAGCAACAACAAACAGGAATTGTGGTGATTGGAGCATGTCTTTAGATTGCGAGCTAACTTATGAAATCCTATTTTCCTGCTAGTTTTTAACTGTATGTAATCCAAAAGTGCCAAAGTCACTTCACTAAATCTTGCATTCTCTTCTAACGATTTATTTATAAGTTCCTTCTGATATTACTACATTTAGTTTACCTTTTGTAGTCTTGTAAATTCCGTTTATATACTAGTCTTTCTATTCTAAATCCTGAGGTTGCAAACGCCATCTAAAAAGACATTGAAAATCACCAAAATCCCTCCTAAGTTAAATAATATGACATTTTCCTTTCTGTTATTTGTGAATATTTGAAAAAAGAAAAAAAAAATCTATATGACCGTCTCAAAATGTATTCTTAGGTGCAGAAAAGAAGAGCATTGAAATTCCCGGAAACTATTGCTATAACAAAGATGAAATTAAACTCAATTTAATGACAAATTCGTGTCTAGATAGATAAATTTTTGTATTGACGAGAGAAAAAATGATAAAATTAAGGGAAGAAGTACAAGTAAATCAATTTATTAATTAAATTGGCGTGTTCTCGCCTTAAAAGAGAATTTTTAGGCAAATATTTCTTTGTTCCAAACAAGATTTCAAAAAAGGAAGAGAATTTCAAATGTACAAAATTGTGTGAAAAACACTTGATTGATCTTTCGGAGAGGAACATTCCAAAAAATTAATCTACAAATTTCAAAGTACACTCAATGGGGACTTTTAAAATAAATGTTAACACTAATCTTACCAAAATTAAGAAGAATTACAAATTGTGGATGAATAGGAAGTGTGTGGTGCTGTTTCAGTTTCGTGAATTGAGATATTTTCGGTTTTTATGACAAATTAGCAAAATTGATAAACGAAAAAATGATAATCCTAAAACGATGGGAAGCAATAAGTCCGGGAAGAAAATCTGACGGTCAGTTTGTGAGCGAATAAAATCATACTTGAGCATTGAATACATATTTTATAAAGAAAAATTGATTGAAATCAACTAGATAATTTGTTTAGTAAGAACATTTTTGGCGCCATGAATTTTGGATCTCTTAAATTATTAAATTAATTATAATGAATCTCCAGATAAAATGTAGTAAAGTGAGGGTATGAGTTGTGTTTATTCAACGTTACAATAACTATTATACTTTGAAGAAAACGATATGAACAATAATTTACTTTACAAATTAAATAATGTACAAATGTTAAATGGAAACAAAGTGAAATATTTCAAACCTGATAATTAACATTTAATGCAGACGAGAATTAATTCTCTAGTAATATAAACTTTTTTTTAATGTATCCTTTTAATTAAAAGAACAAATGTAAGAATGATGGAACATCTTCTTTTCCCAGCTGTTAACCTTTCCTTCGATTCTGTGTCAAACAAATTGAATTCGATTGCATTCGAATTTAAGATGAATTTCTTATTTCATTTCTTTTGTCACAAGAGAACAAATTTCAGAGGAGAAAAATGAGCATGCAACATATGAAAAACGATGAAGATAGAAAGCAAAATTCGATTTAATAATTTCTATGAAATTTTTCCAATTATTTTACATTAAAAGTGTTTTATTTTTGCTAAAAGTCTGGCAGTGGAATTTGTTTTGTATCCAATAGCAAGAGTTTTACGAAAAAGTTGTGAAGAAATGAAGAGAAATTTGCAAAAAACAAGAACATCTGCAGAAAAAGTATCATAAATAATCGAGACTTACCTGTGTTTATATCATAATGATATGGGAGAAAAGTAAATAATTTGTTTGACATTTTTCCTTACTTTCACTCTTGAAACCCACAAAATGTTCCACTTTGTATATTTTACAATTTACAGAAACAGAAGAAAACCACCTTAAAGACAGTAAACTGAACACAGAACCTATGTTTAGAGAATGATTGAAACTGATTTACAAAATCCGTTTCTGGATTTCTTACACATGCAAATCAAGTACAGTAAAAAAGGTTCTATTGCATATATTTAAAATTTTGTTCCTTCTTTAATTGTAAATATTGATAAATGAGAAGAAAAAAAAAACATTTTAATAAAGAAAATTAAGTAATTCACCTAAAATAATGAAATAATTTTTTGAATTAATAGATGTAACTTCACTGAAAGGAAAAGATTATTAAAAGATTAAGGACTTTTGATATATAACTATTAAAAATATATAGTAATAATGAAAATCTATTTATAATTATTGCTAAAATAGTAATATACTTTTTTGCATATTATTACATAATAATTAAGAAAAAAGCAAGAGAAAATACTAAAAAAAAAAAATGAGGAAATTAGCCAATACTGAATAGAATAAATGCAGTGATTGTAGTCCATAAAGTAAAAAAAAGGAGAGATATGAAAGGAAGAGAGATAACAAATCAGTAAGAATATATTTAATAACAAACAAAAGAGAGTCTATACAAAGGAAATTGGAAATTTAGATAAATTGACAAATTTTTCGAAATCGAATGTATCCAAAGAAATGTGAAAGAAAAGCAAATATTTCAGAGCAAAAAAAGATTATTAATTTATAGTACAATTAGGAAAGAATACAATTCAACGTGTTGACAAGAGATGTAAATGGAGAATTTCCAATTTTCTTCACCCCTCGAGTAAAATATTAAGCTTTCTGCTTTATCTTGCGCTTTGTTGTTTATTTGAAGATGTGAAAAAAAGATAGTTTGATCCTTTTCTTTTCAAAATCATCCCCTTTTGTTGAGACCTATTCGAATCCAGCATATTTATTGACCTTTTGTGATTTACAAAATGTAATAATTTTATTTTAAGTTGAAAGCTATATAAATTTACGTTTTATTGCTATGAATTATTTTTATAAGAATGAGAATATATTGGAAAGGAAGAGAAACATGACGAAATGGTAAATGAACAAAGTGTTTAAGGTATACGCATATTAATTTTAAAAATTAATATCTGTTTAATTTCTTATTATTATTCCACTATTTTTGGGACAGAAAGAAAGAAGATGCGAAAGACGAGAAAATTGCAAAAAATTGTTCTGTTGTAGAGAAAATATTCTTTTTCTTCTTAAGGTTAATTTTGTGAAGCGCTTTATTATGCTTCAATTACAAAATTTGTGGGCTTGTGAATGAAATAAATCTTAAGTGTACCATTATTTTTTTTAAGAAAAAGAACATGCAACATCTTCAGAAATTCTCATTTAACCAGTGTTGTTTTGCAAAAATTGGAAGAATATGTACAAAATAATTTGTAGCCATGTTTCAAAAGTTTATTATAAAAGAAAGTGGGCGAAAGACTTCTTAGAAATGCATATTAATGGAAAAAAGCTATATAAACTCTAATCAGTATTCTATAGAAGAGGACAACACAATGCATAAAGAACTAGGAAGAAGAACGTTTTGCATATTTTTCAGCAATAAATATTTTGAGAACGAAAAGTAACTATATATCCAGTAAAAAAAAAACTCTTCAGAAAATCTTTCAAATCATCAATATTTATAGAGAAAAACAAGAAAACTACAAATAATAAATTAATGAAAACCACATTGTACTACAAACCTTCATTTTTACTACGATATGTTAATTGTAATAAAGTAAATTTAATATTAAATATATCATAAATATACTTAAAATTGGTCGTTTTTATTGAATTTTGACGAATAATCATCTTTCCTCCACTCTCCGCTGGATGTCGCTGTGAGTGTCACACGTGGTTGGAGTGTAAACACCTGTTGCAACGAGAGTGTTGTTTTCCCAGCTGAATTTCACAATTTCCACGGTAAATATCACTATTTTCTGTTAAATTACACATTATCCTTGTATCTAAGCACTGTATTCAACATTTGCACATGCATTCACTGCGATTTTTCCATCAGGAACAGCGAGAAAGCCATTGTTGACAAATTGATTTTGAGATTGCGTCATAAAAGATCTCGTATAATATCTTTTGATTAGAGCAATATTCTTCCGGCAGTGAATGCCTCTTCCTGAGAGGACCCCCTTGGAGGCAACACTCGTGCGGTGGTTAGAATGGGAGAAAATGTTATTGGAAATGCATCTATTGATAACCTTAAGGCGACCCTCTAACGTTGTTTGCGCCGATTTCTCTCGCAATCATTCAGTAATTCTCCTCATTTCAGTTGAAATTGAGCTCTTCCGCTGTGCTGATCAACTTTCGTCATGGGAATCGTGCGATACTACCTGCTAGAGAATCTCGACGTGGCCAAGAAGGAGACGCTCCTGCAACGGCTTCAGAAGGTAAGAATTTCCACTGTGGGATGCTTTCTTGATTCCTAACTGAATGCTTTGGTTTCTAGGTGGAAAAGTCCGTCTGTGATGTGCATCTAGAGAAATGCTACCACGTGGAGACAGCCAAGGGAGTGAAAGTGTCCGAGACTCAGGAGAAGATCCTTCGCTGGCTTCTGAAGCACTCTCAAGAGGAAGATGCATTGACTGGTGTGACAACTCTCTTGAATCCCACTTCAAACTCTGTTCTTATCGAAATTGGGCCACGTTTTAACTTCTCCACGGCTGATTCCACCAACAGCGTTAGCATCTGCGAGAGCGTGGGCTTCGAGGGGATCGTGAAGCGCATTGAAGTCTCCATGCGATATCTAATAGTGGCCCAGAATGCAGGAGTGGACAAGAAAGTGGCTGATTTCGTGGAGTTGCTGGGCGATCGCATGACACAGTGTCAGTACACGGAGAAGAATCTCCCGGTGGAGGACTTCTATGAACAGGTGTTGCTGAAGAAGCCTGAGAACTGGTATCGTGTGCCCGTGCTGGAGCAGGGAATTGCCGCACTGAGAGATGTGAACGCAAAACTGGGATTGGCTTTCGATGAGTGGGATTTGCAGTACTACAGCAATCTCTTTGGCAATGTGCTGAAACGCAATCCCACCAGTGTTGAGCTGTTCGATTGCGCCCAAAGCAACAGTGAGCACTCCAGGCATTGGTTCTTCAAGGGGAAGATGAAGATCGATGGGGAGTTTGTGGACAAGTCACTGATTAAGCTGATTGTGGACACTCAGGAGACCACAAATCCCAACAACACCATTAAGTTCAGTGACAACAGCAGTGCCATCAAGGGATTCAAGCAGAAGGCTCTCCGCCCCACGCAGTTTAGCGGTCCGGGGAAGGTGGAGGTCGTGAACATGGAATCGGATCTCATCTTCACAGCGGAGACGCACAACATGCCGACCGCCGTGGCGCCTTTCAGTGGCGCCACAACTGGCACAGGAGGTAGAATCAGAGATGTTCAGGGCGTGGGCAGGGGCGGATTAACCATTGCCGGGACGGCCGGATACTGCGTCGGGGCTCTCCACATTCCAGACTCCGAGGCTCCGTATGAAGATGACTCCTGGCGCTACCCACCGACATTCTCCAGCCCTCTCAAAATCATCATCGATGCCAGCAACGGCGCTTCGGACTATGGCAACAAGTTCGGTGAGCCTGTGATCTCTGGATTTGCCATTTCCTATGGAATTCGCGACAGTGCTGGCGAGCGCTGCGAATATGTGAAGCCCATCATGTTCAGCGGCGGATTGGGAACGATGGATGCCACGCACACAGACAAGTTCAATCCCGAGAAGAGGAATCTCCTGGCGAAGCTGGGTGGCCCTGTTTATCGCATTGGTGTCGGAGGCGGCGCTGCTAGTTCTGTGGAAGTTCAAGGTGGTCGTGATGCTGCCGAGTTGGACTTCAATGCTGTGCAGCGAGGCGATGCTGAGATGGAGAATAAGCTGAATCGCGTTGTGAGAGCGTGCATTGAGATGGGTGCCAAGAATCCCATCTTGGCGATCCACGATCAGGGCGCTGGCGGCAATGGGAATGTGCTGAAGGAGCTGGTGGAGCCAGGATATGCAGGAGCTGTGATCTTCTCCAAGGAATTCCAACTGGGAGATCCCACAATCACAGCGCTCGAGCTCTGGGGTGCGGAGTATCAGGAAAACAATGCCATTCTCTGTCGCCAAGAGGATAGGCAACTTCTGGAAGACATCTGCTCGAGGGAGAGGTGTCCCATCAATTTTGTGGGTGTGGTGACAGGAAATGGGTATGTGACACTCCTGGAGGAGGAGGCAAACTTCGAGAAGTACCTCGAAAGGCAGTATCTGCCCAAGGAAACAGCTCGTCCCTTCGATCTCCATCTGAAAGATGTTCTCGGCGAGATGCCTCGCAAGGAGTTCACTTTGGATCGTCTGCCCAGGAAATTGACACCTCTTCAGGTGCCGGAGATCAATTTGGAGAAAACTCTGAAGACAGTCTTGGGGATTATGGCGGTGGGCAGCAAGAGATTCCTCACGAACAAAGTGGACAGATGCGTGACTGGCCTGATCGCTCAGCAGCAGTGCGTTGGATCTCTGCACACTCCTTTGGCTGACTTTGCCGTCACGGCGGTGTCGTATTTTGGCCACGAGGGCATCGCCACGTCTATCGGCACGCAGCCGATTAAGGGATTGATTTCACCTCAGGCGGGTGCCAGGATGTCAGTGGCCGAGGCTCTCTCGAATCTCGTGTTTGTGGGAATCTCCGAGCTGGCCGACGTCAAGTGCTCAGGCAACTGGATGTGGGCAGCTAAGCTGCCTGGCGAAGGCCTGAAGCTCTATGAAGCGTGCCAAGCGATGTGTTCCTTCATGAAGGAGCTCAATATCGCTGTTGACGGTGGAAAGGACTCACTCTCGATGGCTGCTCGAGTTGGTGGCGAGACGGTGAAGTCTCCAGGAACTCTCGTCATCTCCACTTATGTCCAGTGTCCGGATATTCGTGTGAAAGTTACGCCGGATCTGAAGATGCCGTCGCGCGGAGGACGCGGAGAATTGGTGTTTGTCAGTGTGGAGAACAAATTCCGCCTGGGAGCCTCCGCCCTAGCGCAGGCGCTGGGTCAACAAGGAGATGACTGTCCAGACGTTCAACGGGCGGATGTGCTGAAGAGGGCCTTCGAGGCTACCCAGAAACTTCTCAAGAAGGGAAAACTTCTCGCTGGTCACGATGTGAGCGATGGTGGTCTGCTCGTGTGCGTCCTGGAGATGGCTTTCGGCGGAATGTGCGGTCTCAACGTGGACATCTCGAGCATTTTCAAAGGCCACAGCCACTCTAACTACATCCCCATATTGTTTGCTGAGGAATGCGGCTGGGTTCTGGAAGTGGAGAGTCAGCATTTCACTGAAGTCATCCAAACGTTCGCTTCTGAGGATGTTCCAGTCTTCCACATCGGTTCTTCCCTGGGCAGTGGCATTAAGTCGCCCGTCAGGATTCAATGCCAAGGCAAAGTGCTGCTGGACGTTGAACTTCTGCAGCTGTTTAAGCAATGGGAAGCCACAAGTTTTGCCCTGGAAAAGCTTCAGATGAACGAGGAGTGTGCCAAGGAGGAGTTTGAGAGTCTCTCTCGCCGTAAAGTCTTGAAGTACTCGTGCACTTACAATCCGGATGAAGTTATCCTCCCACGAGAACCTGCTGCTGCCATCCGCGTGGCTGTGATCCGCGAGGAGGGCACCAATGGTGACAGGGAGATGATTTCCTCTCTCTATGCGGCCAAGTTTGAAGTCCACGACGTTGCCATGACGGATCTCCTGGCGAAGAAGGTCACTCTGGATGCCTACAGAGGTGTAGTGTTCCCAGGAGGCTTCAGCTATGCCGATACTCTGGGTTCTGCTAAAGGATGGGCCGCCACGATTCTCTTCAGTGACGTCCTAAGACCCCAATTCGACCAGTTCAGGCGGCGGAAGGACACTTTCTCTCTCGGTGTGTGCAACGGATGCCAGCTCATGAGTCTCATCGGCTGGGTGGGCAATCCCAGAGAGACCAAGGAGAGTGCTTTTGACGTTCCCGATGTGGCTCTTCTCCACAATCGCTCGGAGCGCTACGAGTGCCGCTGGTCGACAGTCAGGATTGCTCACGACACCAATTCTGTTCTCCTGAAGCGCATGAGGGGATCCGTGATGGGATGCTGGATTGCGCACGGCGAGGGACGCTTCTCCTTCCGCACCAGGGCCGTGCTGGAGGGCCTGAAGAGCAGACAGAGCGTCGCTATGCACTACGTGGACGACGATCACAAGCCTACGGAAGTTTACCCCATGAATCCCAATGGCAGCACTGAAGGCGTAGCTGGGATTACGTCGGAGGACGGAAGGCATCTCGCGCTTATGCCTCATCCGGAGAGGTGCAGCATTTTGTGGCAGTGGCCATACGTTCCGCATGACTTCAAGCACAAGAACTCTCCGTGGCAGACGATGTTCGACGAGGCATTCCTCTGGTGCTCATCCAATTGAGCTTATTTGGCCATATATTTTTTGATATTCTATGCATGCATTTATATATATTTTTACTGGAATAAAATTGTGAAATATTTTCGAGCACATTTGGTGTCGTTATGTATTAACGGAGAAATGTGGGGTTTAAACTACAAACTTTCGATCAGCTGATTTCGACGAGCGCCACTGCTAGAATCGAATAGGAAGCCTAGAATGTAGACAAAGTGTTTATTTTTGTGTCTGGCTGGTGAAAAATCCAAGATTTTGCTAGGATGTCTGACTTTCGGGATCACAAAATGTTCCAAAAGAAGAGAAAATTGACTGACGAAGAGCTTAGAAAGTGAGTTTGTTGCATACACTTGAGAATATGTTCACATCGTCTTTGTATTCATTCAGGCTCGCTATTGAAGAGTTGAACCTTGAGCTGGTGAAGGCGTCAGCAAGAGCGGAAATTATAGGAGCTTCTGGGTGGAAACCGTGTCCGCTGAAGAAGACCAACAAGAGATTTCTTCAATCCACCCTAAAGTCCGCCGTCCGCCACAACGACAGGGAGAGGGAGAAAAGTCTGAGAGCCAGTTCGGATAAATTGAGTCGCCTGGAGAGGAGACAGAAACAAACCCACCGCGAAGGATCATCCAGGGAAAAAACCACAAGAAAGTCCGGCAAGTTTGGTGAGCGGAAGCATGAGTTCCGGAAGCCTGATAAGAAGGAGAAAGAGTCCCCGGAGAAAATAAAGGGCGGATAAGCGTAAAAGGCAGTTGCTTTATTAGTAACACAAAGCAGATTAATCCTATCCTAGATTTGTAGGTTAGTTGTCCAGAGTATTGTGGTCCCTCAAGGTGATTACGCGGAGTGGGACTGGGTCTCGATTGGCAACTTTGGCAGTGACATTTGGATGAAAGCACTTGTAGTAGATGATCTGGAAGGTGATGCCCAGGAGAAACAGCCCAATCACCGCCCCCACGAAGAGATAGAATAAGTAGATGGGCATCAGCTTCCAGTCGGCATAGAAGAAGTATGTAATTAGACAGGCCAAGTTCTCCACGAAGCAGATGGAGTAGAAAGTGACATATCTGTAGCGCGTTGGGCCCTCTTTCACGGAAATCAGGTGGAAAAGGAAGATCGTTCCGATGGTAAGTGAGAGGAGAAATTTGGTGAAGAAGTTGTAGTTGCACAGATTGAGATTCCTGCGATCAGAGACGAAGATGTACAGTCCAAAGAGGAGGACATGGATGATGCAACAGAGCAGTGTCCAGAGAGGTCCAATGCTGGCAAGGAGGGCGATTGCCAGGATCCTTGCCACTGACATGGAGAGATTCCAGATGATGTGGAAGACTTGGCCGATGAATTTGATGTGCTTCTTTGTCGGTGTGGCCAATCTCAGGCACTTTTGGTGAGAACTCAGCGTGTAGGCCATGCTGAAGATGCAACTGACGAGGAGACATCCCTGCCACGGCGTCAGAGCCTCCTCGCCTGAGAGGTAAATGGCAATTTGGAGGACTTTCTGAGGCGCAGCCTCAAGGAAGCAGTCGAACAAGCGCAAGAAAGTCTCATCGCTCTCGGCCTGCACCAGGTTCCTGTAGTATCTCGTTGCTCTCTCCTTCTGGTTCCTCTCAGTAGCCAGATAGTATTTCAGAGAGTAAACAGTCGTTTCCCAGTAGCTAAAAATAGAAATATTTTCTTCCATTTTCTTGACCTCCAAATTACAGAGTAGCAAACTGACCGTAAAATGTTGAGAAAAACACTCCAAACAGCGTTGGAACAGCAGTCTTTTCGTGTCCTGTGTAGAGATTCATCCTTGGCCCTCCTGTAGAGACAAACAAGAAATGATTTAGTGAGGAATTTCACTTCCGGAAACACGTTTTAAGGCTCATACACTTCGCAACTGATGAAGAGGGTCAGAAACCACGGGATTATCCAGCAGGCTAGTGTGTAGATCATGTAATTAGAGTTGCCCCGCTGATAATACTGGATGGAGACGTAAATTGTGACGCCAAAAGACACCACCCGCATAATAATCGAGATGCAATTGTATAAAATATCGCATGGATGGACCTTTTCTCTCTCTGTCGCTGAGTCATCTCGGATATCCGGAGGAATCTTGAGGGGGAAGCGAGAAGACACATAGGAAGCGTCAAATTCATTCATATCCGAGGCGTTTGGGGAAGCAATTGCACTGGGAAATTAACTAAAAAGGGTGAAAAGGGGTAAAAAGAAATGCAAGAAGAGGCGCGTTTTTCGCGAACTGATTGTTACGTCACTCTTTCTGACGTTTCGCTTTGTTCCGCACTTTCGTCGAAGCCGTGCTGAGAGGGAATTGTTGAATTACGCACTTCGCTTTATTTTTCTGACTTTACGCGCTTTCGGTGATTTATTATCATTGTAGAATCATCAGGAATGTTTACTCTTCAATCTCAGGTAAAATCTGCATGAGAAAATTGGCTGGATTCATTTGTAAGAGCAATGTTTGTTAATAGAGGTTATGTCTCTAGGTCTGGAGGACCCTAAGCAAGGGACGAATCAGCCAAATTGCAGGATGTCGCTTGTTCAGCAATGAAAAGCAACAGAATTTCGAGAAAAGTAAGTCTATTTCTTGTTCTGAAACACTCCACTGATAGATATTTCAGGAATAACAAGGGTTTCTTTTGTCCTTTTGCAGCTGTGAACAATGTTACGCTCTTGGGTCGTGTGGGAGTCGAGCCTCAGTTGAGAGGAAATGAGGAGCATCCTGTCGTTACATTCTCTCTGGCCACTCACGTAGGCTACAAGTAATTCCCCTAAATTAACCATATTTTCGCAAGATCTCATATGATTCTTATTGCAGAAACGAATCTGGAGACTGGACTCAGAAGACAGACTGGCACAGAGTGGTCGTCTTCAAGCCACAACTCAGGGAATCCGTGATGAACTACCTCCGTCGTGGGCAGAGAGCGCTGGTGCAGGGAAAGATCAACTATGGCGAGATAACAGACCAGGAGGGGAAGCAGCGCATCAGCACCAGTATCATCGCGGACGATGTGATCTTCATCAATCAGTCAGGAAAGTAGATATAAGCAGAGTCATGTACAATAAAGTCTTGCATTTTTCCTATTAAAATCCTTTATGTTTTACTCTGGCTTCGAGTGGTCGAAATTTGTACGAGTGGCGCCTAGAATGCTAGAAAAGTGGTCGTGCGAAAATCCGCAGTGGTGCCAACTGGTGTGTGGACAAGGTGCTAGAAATAGAGTGAAGAACTTGTGCGGCGGAGGAAGATATTTTCTCGTGAGAAAAGAGTGAGAAAAAGTGCGTCCGAAAGTCAAAAATCTCTGATTTTCCACTGTAAAATGGAACTCAATAGAAGCGTGCTCAGTTCAAAGGTACTCCTGTGTGACATCGAGGGCACCACCTCGTCCATTGACTTCGTAAAAGTAAGTGCAGCATTTTCCGTCTCCCATTGTGACTGTCCCGAAGGGCGATGAAAAAAGTGAGCCATGCGACCGGCATTCCTCGCATTTATGGCATTTTTCACACATTCCCTGACTGAATGCGTGTGAAAAAGCATTTCTGCACGCCGTAGTTGCACCGGGGGTGCTTTTTCCGCGATCCACGGACGTACTATCAGTGGAAAATGCGGGGAAAATTGAGGATGAAAAGCGCGAGTCTCAACTTGGGCGTTCAAGAGTGGAACTTCCCAATCCAAAATGGTCGAACTTTTTGTCTATTTCGTGTCTGGCGTTTCGTGGAAAATTTTCGCATTCATCTCTATCCGCACCGCCCTTGCGCCTCCTCACTGTGTCGGCTGTCCGCAGAGAATGCCTCCGTGTGCTGATCTCGGCGCCCCCCGCGGCGTCTGCCTGGGCTGCCGGGCTGCGTCGCCGGGATGCTGGGAAGGGGGAAAAGTCGCGAAAATGGAGAAAGTGGCGTCGTGTGACACGTCTCCTGGGGTGGCAATAAGGTATCCGCTGGTGGGACAGGTCAGGGACACTGACGAGCGGGCGCCGCTTCCTTGTGTCAGCTCGGGCGAGTGGGGCGAGGAGAGAAAGTGCCTCGGAGTCACACGCAGTGGCAGTGACAGGAAAATTCAGCAATGCGCGATAAAGATGGATTCTGCGGTTTTCTCCGGTCAACCACTGTGTTGTGGGGAGGAAAACAAAAGCTCCGATAGCTGCCCAAGGTTTCGCTGGTGCGGGATTCCGGAGTGTTGCTGGGTCAAGAAATTCGTATTCGCGTTTCCTTCTCTTTTTTCCCGACACTCCGCTCTTCGTTATTCACCATTCTTCTTTGGGTGCATCTTTGTTGGCGAATAAATATTGCGAAAAAACCAGTTTCTAGCCGAGATATAAATAAAACCCATATTCCTGAGCTCATTCGCTTCATTTTCATTTATGACAAAGGAGAAAAAAAGGAACACTGTCAGAAGACACACACGGCAATTGCAGCGAAAATGGTGCGAGAGAAGAAGATGGAGAGGAGAAATAGCAAAACGTCCCCCGCGTTTTTTTCTTCATGCCTCAAACTCGTGTGCTGAAAAGCTTCTCCGAGGAGCTGAGCGAAAGCCATTGGCCAAAAGAGGTTCGTCTTTTTGCCAAAGTCAGTGTCTTCTGGGCTCTCGCTTTGCGGCGTGATTCTGGATTGTGCCACCCTTTCAGGGTCGTCGCGGGGCGGATTGGGAAGAGAGAGAGATGATTGTGTGTGGAAAAATAGGCTCAAGGCGATGGCAAAATGAGGGGCATTCCTTGGGAGAGCCACACAAATTCACTGGTTGGGGGTTCTTGACCTCTGCTCACACACCAAAATATTTGCAGTCTACGCCTCGGAGGCCTTGTTTTCAGCACTGGCATTTGCCGTCTGACTTGATGAAATTCAGGAACTCTGCGGACGCTTGCAAGCATCTGGAGAAACAGTGGATGAAGAACACTTATTTGCATTTCATTATGTTAGGCAGACGAGGTTATACACAAGAGACGTACTTATCTGCTATTTGTAAACACAGCCACGCAGAACTACCCTTTCTTGGCTAGAACAGCGGAACTTTAAAATGGGAAACAGGAAAGCAATTTGGCAAATTAATCTCAATTATGTCATCAAGGTGAAGAGCTCAAATTTCCTGGATACAAATTCTAGGCTTGCCGGATTCTGTTCGACAAATTAAATATTTCCGAACAATTAAGAGCATTTCTGATGTGAAAAATTTAGGACATTTGAAGAAGATGGAATTTCAAAGTCTGTATGTAATTTTTAAGCTATTCTTTGTGGATCAAATAACATGTGGCTTTTCCCCATAGCATTAAGCCTTGGCGTTGTAACAAGATAGATATTCAATTACATATTAAAATAAATGAGCCGACTCGTGGATGAGATTTTCATTGAATTACCGCTCTGATAGGAATTCTTACTTAACAAACATGAGTGCAAATGAACCTTATAACCATCAAATATTGCTGCCAGTTATTCTCACCTTTTAGGATATGTAAAAATAACACACAAGTTTGCAGATTGAGTGCATTGAAAAGCAACATTTTATTGATATTCAAGAACTGCACAAGACCAGACGAGCTTAACAAAAGACTCGATGGAGTCGCAAAATTGTTGCTACCTTTGGAAGGAAGAGAGAAAGACGCACTCGGAAGAGAAGTGGTTGAGAAAGCTGTGTCAGATGTAAATGAAGTTGGAGTGTAGAAAAGCGAATTCCCCATAACACATTTACCCTACAAGACTAATCCCTATTGTCCCATTGTTCCTCCCTGTTCGTCAGTCGGATGACGAAGGAAGTGACCTTTTTCTAAATGGCAATTCTTTTCCACCACGCAGGAGACTCTCTTCCCCTATGCACTGAAGAACGTGGAGAAGTTCCTGCAGGACAACTGGGATCGGGATGATGTGAAGGAAGCCGTGGTGGAGCTACGGAAGCTGGCGGAGAAGGATGCTGAGGAGAAGACCGAGGGTGCTGTGCTTGTCCTGGGCGACGATGAGGACAAAGCCAAAGTGCAGGAGTCTGTGGTGAAGAGCGTGGAGTGGCTTATGGGGAATGACAGGAAGGTGACGCCCCTGAAAGCGCTGCAGGGATTGATCTGGGAGGCTGGCTACAAGGATGGATCCATCAAGAGCCAGTGAGTATTGATATTTATGCCGGAGGTTCAAGTATCGGGTAAACATTTGAATGGCTTGAGCAACAATTGACATGCTTCGCTTTCGCAGTGTCTATGATGATGTGCCCAAGGCTTTCGAGAACTGGACCAAGACTGGCCACAAGATCTTCATCTACTCCAGCGGCAGCGTCATGGCACAGAAGCTGCTCTTCGGCAATACATCGGCGGGCGATCTGATGTCCCATTTGTCTGGGTACTTCGACACGAAGATCGGTGCTAAGCAGGATAAGGAGAGCTATGAAGCCATCGCAAAGGAGGTGGAATGCGTCGCCGGGGAGATTCTCTTCCTCACTGATGTGGTGAAGGAGGCCAAAGCAGCTCAAGAAGCTGGAATGAATGTTGTGATTGTGAATAGGCCAGGGAATGCAGCACTGACCGATGAGGAGAAGAAGGAATTTGCTGTTGTTGACAACTTTGAGGCTCTCCCTTTGGAAGAAGTGACGACAGGCAAGAGGAAGATCCCGGAAGAGGAGGCAAAGCAGGTACAACGCAAGAAGAGATCTAAATAAATAGCATTTCTTGTTGAATATTGTCTTGATTTATGCTACTTTTACAGAAATTGGGATAGCTTTTGAGTCAACGTGATCTCGTGTGCTCAGGCTATGGAGAAGAGACTGAAATTAGCTATCTTAGAAGTGAGTTTCACTAAGAGATTTTTTGTTTGCCTCCGCAGGAAACCACAAAACCAGCGAAAGTGGCTAAATTGGAGACGGACGTGGCGGACGCAGCTGAAAAGCCGGAGCAAGTGAGTGACGAGAAGACTGACGATGAACCCAAATGTGACACTGCCGTTGTGGATAAAATTGAAATTGAAAGGACTGATGATGAGAAAACTGAGAAAGAGACTGAGTCGAAAGCTGAGGATAAGGAGGAGAAGATGGAGACGGACGAGAGTGAGGAAGTGAAGGATAAAGTGGAGGATGCTGAGGAGGCTGCCAAGGTTGAGGAGAAGAAGGAGGAGGCTGAGCAGATGGAAGTGGACGGGAAGGGAACGACTGTGGCTGCTGAGGTCGAGTCCGTTGCGGCTGTAGTGGCAGAGGTGAAAGAGCCTGCAGCTGCACCCACCACAGAAGAAGCTCCTGCCGAAGAGAAGAAGAAAGAAGAAGAGGTAGTGAATGGCAAGAGTGTCGAAGGCGAGAAGGTCGAGGAGGTGGCAGCTGAGGAGGAAAAGAAGGAGACTCCTGTCGAAGAGGAGAAGAAGGAGAAAGTGGTGGAGACAGAAAAAGTGGTAGAGAGCACAAATGGTGACGCTGTGGACGCCGCGCCCGCCGAGGAGGTGAATGGCGGCAACAAAGCCGCAGAGGTGGCTGAGGAGAAGGCCGAGAATGGCAAAGATGAGGTGAAGAATGGCCACAATGAAAATGCCGATAGTGTGGTCGCGGCAACGGCGGAGGTGACAGCGGACTCGACAGCATCGCCAGCGTCCGGCGCAAGTGATCAGGCGACGAGCAGCGAGGTCATTGTGAAGAAATGCGTTGAGCCGATGGTGAAGTCCCCCGTGGCTCAGCCCGTGGAGGCAGCAGAATCGTAAATGCCTGCCGAAATAGACGATATTTTCCACGCACGTAACGCAACTCTTCAAAACATATTTCTCTATAATTAGTAGTTTTTTTTTATTCAATGTTCTTGTGTTAACTTTCACAAACTGTTTCATGTCTTTTAGTTAGAATGATATTGAATTCACAAAAAGCAGTATTTAAGAAGACGAACTTGATAAGGATAAGAGTGATAAATGTTTAATGTAGTATCATTTTTGTTTTGTGTAAGAAATTTAGAATCTGTTTTCCATATTTGACACACGTTAAATTCTTGCGAAAAAGGCATAAAATTTATTTTGGATATTAGAGAGAATCTCAGAGAAATTTAATCTTGTATCATTTTATTCAGAATATAAATATATTGTAAGGATTTTATTTGCTAAGTGTTGAGAAGGTTATAAGATAAATACGAAAAATATTTCTCGACTGTTTCCATGACCATCTCTGAAAAATGAAGAAAAAAAAGAAACAAGATGATATAAGAAGAAAAACATATTCGAAGACGAAAATTCTGTAGTATTTAAAGAGAAAAAAATAGCTATAAAAAGAGATATTGAACGTAAGAATGACTTTTGACTGATTTTTTGGCCCTTTTTTGTAATAATTATATAAAGACTACAGTGACTGGCATGAATATTAGCTCAATAAGAAACATGAATTTATTTTATAAGATAAAGACAACCTCTTCATGTTTGGCCATTGCATAAAGACTGCGAATGATTTTTCAATATTTATTGTTTCAAATGTAAATGGAGTAGAGAATGCGGGTGAACATAAAAGAAAACTGCCAATAGTCATGGAAAGAAGTATGATAGTTGTAATATTTGCTCCAGTCACTGTACATCAGACTGAATGTGAGTAAATCCTCTAAAAAATAATACTAAATTGAACACCAAATAAAAAAGAGAAAACATACGATATAGCAAAGAAGAAAATTTTTGAAAACTAATTAATAACTCAAAAAGAATATTAAGTGTAAGTAGATTGTAAGGATTCTTCATTTTTTTGTACTAGTACTTAATTTTCAAATATTTCTTCAACGATCCAGAATTTTTTATAAATATAATCATATGTTTTTTTTTAAAGTAAAGAAAATTACATTCATTGAAAGTAGATTTCGTAGGGCATTCTGAGGATAACAATGCATAGTTAAGAGAAAGACATTCCGAGATTTTGAGTAAAGCGAGAAAAAGGGAATATAAATTGATTATGAAATGGTTTCTTTTCGCGATAAAGTTGCTTTATGGTTCTTGCTATACCATTTTATATTATGATTAAAATATTTAAATATGACAGTATAAAATAAATGATAAATAAAGTCAATCTATATATTTTCAATTCCACGGCGAAGAACAAGATTGGACCTGCTCAGTTTCCGCAATTGCTCAATAGATGGCATCAGAGCGGCAGTGTGATTCCTTCGATAGGCCACAGATGACGATGCATGTCAGCAACGCTTTCCCAGCAGACAGAAGAAAAAAACAACGGCATTTCTCAATTTAACAATTATTTCTCTTTATTTTGCAAAAGTAACATAAAAGTCAAACATTGCTTTCTGTTTTCTTCAAATTTTCATCCAATTACAGTGTTTTTAATGTTTCTTTTTTCACATCATCCTGAAACAATGGTTTTCTTCTTTACTTTTAAAAGTTAATTCTTAAGATTTCTTCTTTACTCTTGATTGTACATATTTATTGAACATCAAATTTTATTAGCATTTTTTTTCTTCATAAATTTATACACATACTAATTTTTTGTGACTTTTTCTTGTCTCTCTTCAAAATTGGTAAAATTGTGACCGCAAAAATGTTTTCTCCTTTTGTATTTTTTAAATAAATGTTTTTTTTATTTATTTAGTTCCGTCGGGATTCTTTGTCTCTCTATTCATTGTCATTTTATGGAACCGTTTACGGGAAAATTTTAGATTTTATTCTCTATTTTAGGGAAAAATTTGTGGAAATTCTTCCCTGTAATTGACGAAAAATAATCTCTTTTGCAATTTTGGTGTAACTCTGCATGACTTTTGCAAGTACTCTCATTTTTTTGTTAATTTTCCTTTATCTTTTTTATTCAATGATAATAATTAATAAGTAATAATAATATAACTTATCAGCTATTGGATTTCTTTCATATATATAGATTCTCTTATAATTTATCATAATTTTTAATTATACTTTTTATTTATAATAATATATCGGTAAGTAGGACTAGATTGTTCATTTCTTACTTGTTTATTTTTTAAATTTTCACTTGAGTTATCTTTTTTTTTAAATGTTTTTTTTTATAATATTTTCTTCTCATATTAATCTTGAGAAAAAGAAATTTTTCAATGCTTCTCTTCACAATTTTTTTATCGTGTCATGCTATTTTCGCGCCAATTTTTCTTATTCACTCTCTGAATAGTGAGAAACACGAAAATATTTCTTTTCCTTCGTTAATACTTTTTCTATTTACTTCATCTAATTTTTCTTTCATCTTGTTTCTTTTTTTCTTTTAAATATAAGTAAATTTCAGCAATTCTGGCAGAAATAATTTTATATACACATTAAAAAAATTCAACTATTACATTTTTATATTTCTTCTTTTTATTTACAAATTCGTACTTTTTCAATTTTTTTATCCACCTTTTCTTTTTCTCATTTCATCTTTAGCTATTTACAAAATTTTCTTGATGTGTATTCCGTTTTCTCTCTCGATTCCCTTCTCTTTTCCCAATAAATTAATTTTGTCATGTTTAATTTTTTTTTTCAATTTGCTTCACTTTGCGCATGAAAAATATGAGTGTCCTGAAAACTTGCAATCATAGCCAGAAAGTAAAAAAATCAAGAGAAAGCTCTCTGTTTGTGTGCTTTTCAACGTGAAAAAATCCTCACTTTATGCTCTCATTATTGCTTAGAATAATAAAATTACCACAAATATTGCTTGTCAAAAAGAAGCTATTGCTTAAAAAGTTATACAGTAAAAAATGTCTCTTCGCTAAAGAACGATGGCTGAATGGAAATAAGGATAAAAAGGAGGGAAAACAATTGTTGATCAATTCCTGCAAGGAAGATTGTTTTGTTGCTCGCGTCCAACTGTTGGTTCACATTTGTCCCTTCTTTATATAATTCCTTCTCAAGTATTTTTCTCTTGTCTATAAATCTACTAAGGAAGTGTACATCATTAGAATAAATATATTATTTTTGGGGTTTGAATTTCATCCTTTCCGTTCTTATTCTTCTCCTGATTTTTCTCAATTTTCAACACCAATTTTCTCATCAAACTTTCTTCTTTCTTCAACAGAAAGAAAAAAAATAATCTCACTGTTTTCACTACAAAATATCATTTCGTGTTGGTTTTCCTTTTGATTTTCATTCACTGTTCGCTTCGCTGTGTTACGTATCATTTTTTTTTAAGTACTTTCATATAATTTTTTCTTTCAAATATGAATAGGAAAATTATGGATACAGTTTTACATTTACTTAAATTGAAATTGTATTTTTCCTTTGCTTTCAAATGGCGAGTCACAAAATTTTCTATGTTTTTCGCTTGTGTGTGCTATTTTGCTTCTCATCAGCTATATGTTGCGATTTTTTCTCACAATCTTTTCCATCATAATTTCTTCTTCTGTATGTTTTTTTTATGTAGACACAGCCTTCACAACCTGAGCAAAAACTCTAATAAAAAACCGTATTTAAATGTCTTGATCAGAATCATGGTCAGAATAGAGAAAAAACGAGATGCGATTTATCACGTAGAGAAACACAGAGTGGCAGCAGTTTTGTCCGTTTTGAGTTAAAATGAACTAATAATAATTTAAATACACTATCATTAACTTAGGTTTGTCCTTTTTTAGTTGTAAAAATAAATACTGAGTGAATTTTGGAAAGTGTTGCTAGTCAAAAAATGGAAGATACTTGACATATTAATTCATCGTAAAAATGAATCATTGCGCCAAATTTCTGCTGCATGAGAAAAATCAATGACATTGCACACTCCATGCGGAATTGCAGTAGGGCAAAATGTGTATATTTCCGACTTGTCTAGAAAACTTCTTATGTTCAGGGCGATGTTTGCAGACTCTTAAAGATCACCCAAGAAAGATGTGGTGAGAAAGAAGAGTTCATGGCTTCAAGCCTGAAGAAGAGTTACCCATAAAATCTATTTCTGCACAAGTTTTGTTCATTTTTGTATCCCATTTTGCCAAATTTCGATCCAAAGTCCCGCCCTCGTGCAAGCTCCGCCCACTGCCCTATGAATTTACTGGAAGACTGACAAATGAAATGAATTCCCACCCATTTTAAGCAAAGTGTGAGTGTGATTTTTGCCCTACTGCACTGCAACATGGTGAGTGCGCTTTCGAGATCGATCTAGAAAAATGGAAACTCATCGAGAATGGAGGGATGGAACGGTGACCTGCCCTCACACTACTAACTTCCGACCATGATGTGTGTGAAGGCTGCGTCCATCTCCTGCTGGCCCGGCTCCGGCACGGACTTGAGAATGTCGTCCGCACTGAGCGGCGTGAGCTTCCAGCTGGGCAGGAGCTCAGTGAGCTCGGGCCCCAGACCCAGATCCATGTCCAGCAGCCCGTAGTCCCAGTTCGTGGTCGCCGTGACTGTGCAGGAGGCGGCCGAGGCGAAGGAGAACGTCGTGGCGGCGGCGAAGGAGCAACTGCTGGTGCTGCTGCTGGCCGCGGGCGTGCTCGTGCTGGTGGTGGTGAAGAGATCATTGTTGTTCAGCGGGTCCAGGGCGGATTGCGACGACAGACTGAGTACGGAGCCCCAGTTGATGGGCCTCGTGCAGTCCTCGTCCCCGTAGCCGGAGTCCGTGTCGGGCAGCCCGGCGGCGGGGAAGGGCGTGGCGCGTCCCCCGCTGTGGGCGTCGCGCAGCGGATGGTGGTCGTATGGCGGTAGGGAGTCATTGAATGGCAGGTTGGGGGGAGCTGGAGTGGCGGCGCGTCCATTGTAGGGCGCCTGGAAGCCGGGCGGCGACTCAGGGCTGCCGTAGTGAATCTCAGGCGGCGCGTGGTGAAGCGCCGGCGCCCTGTATTGCGGATGGTAGTCCGCCGGATGCGGCGATTGAGGTGGCGGTGGCTGTGGGTGGTGCATGTGGTGGTGATGGGGACCAGTCACGTGGTGCTGGTGCATGCCCAGCTCCTTACTCTCCATTTCCATCTCGCGCTCGATGCACTTGAGCGTGTTGCATATGAGCACGGAACGGTACAGGCTCTGCTCACTCACCTGACGGAAGCGTGATAACTTAAACATACTGAGGTTCATCATCTTTAAGCGTCTCTCCTTGTAGCATTGTTTACTATTGCACCAATTATTCCTACCATCACAGCACCGTTTCACACCACCGCGAGCGTTCATCCCGGCCGAGCCATAGCTCGCACTCCCTAGCTCCAGGTACGATTTCCCGTTCTCCGCACAGCGGATCGTCTGCTGCGGACTCGCGGCCGCCTCTGGGGGCGTGTAGTAGCCCCCAGCCCAGCCCGCGCTGTACCCTCGGCTCCCGTACACGCCTCGCGAGCACGTCGTCAGCGGCGGGTACGATTCCGTGTAGTAGCTGCTCTTGGCGGCGGGGGAGTAGGCCGCCGGCGGGGCGTAGCCGCGCGGCGGCGCGCAAGGGTATCGCAGTGGCAGGTAGCTGGGAATGGCCGTGTCATCCTCGTCAAAATCATCCTCGAAGTCGTCGTCGTCATCTTCGAGATCATCCGCGGCCAGGAGGGTGGTGGCTAGCGCCGAGCGCGCCCCGTCCGTGCCCCACGCACTCTCCCCCGGCACCGCAACGGCCTGCAGCCGCGAGATGCTGTCCACAATGGGCTCCCCGGCCCATGTCGATTCACCGGGCACCGTCACCGCCTCCAGGCGAGCAATACTGTCCTCGCCCAGGCCCGATGCTGAGATCACAGATGATGTCGTCGTGGCGGGAGTCGTGGTGGCACCCGCTCCGGACCAGCGACTCGTTTTGGCCGGGCTACAGCTGCCCTGCTGCTCAGCCGATTCGCCGCCCTCGCCCGCTTCATACTTTCGCTTACTGGCCGCCGCTTGGAGACCCATCATTGATAAACCAGATTTCTGGAAAGAGCGGAGAAGATCACAGTCAGACACGATCTTTATTAATGAAAAGCAGCTGAACCTCATATTTGAGGAATGACTGAGTAATGACGATCACAGAGAGCAGTGAAATTCCAGCTTATAAAATATGTGCTGGTCAGGAGAAAGAATGCACGTGCTCTGGAGCGCTGCTACACACCAAAAGTGCTCAGTGCCTTGAGTCTGTGTCGCGCATCGTCGTTTCCACAATTTAATGGCAGACGCATGCGGAGATAGTCTCAGATTTGTAAACACTTAAGATCCCATTGTTCCCTGGACTATAAAAGTCAGCAGCATGCAGTTTTGGAAATTGAAATATGCCTCTCGTGGCCTCTCATCCGTCTCAGGCACGGAGACACAGACGCGAGACAGAGAGAGGAGAATATTTAGGCTTCATACACAAATCGCCAATTGGTGGCAGAGAACTTGTCTAAACATCAATTAAAGTCACTCCATTGATTCTCAATGGGTGTAGAGTTGATCGGCATCGTGCCGGCAGGCGAATGAATGATGAACAGAGGAAAATCACCCAGTAAAATACCAATAATTACATTATTTATGTACTATCGATAGAGCAATAATTTGACTTATTTACTACGACTGGCGCGTGAGAAAAAAGACGGAGCCTATAGTGACTTCCAAAAATTTTTATGAATGAACTCTTCTCAGTCGAGGTAAACAATACGAGAAAAAGAGTCCTAAATAGTAAAAATCATATGTTCATTGTTAAGTCTCGACACAACAATTAATCGTTTTAATGCCTCCTCTCGTTTTTCTCTGTTGAAAAACCCATAACAATGTCAGCAAACACGATTTTTTCCACTCATTCTATATTCCCTCTCTTTTCCACCACTATCGTGCCCTCCTTTGCATCCCAACAGCACCACCGACTCGGTGGCGTGTGCCTTATGTATTAATAAATAAATTAAATGACTCTCAATGGGATGTGAAATTATTTTTTGGGCGGAATTTACCTGGCCACAGGGACGACCCTCACCAGCAGAGAAACTCTGGCGCGCCAAAGTTGTAGATGATGGTGTGTAATTGCATAGAAAAGCGTCCGGTGACATGCCATAAAGTAATGTAGTGGGGCAGAAAAAAGGGACACTTGTTGGACATCATATTTACAACGGGGCGAGACCCATTGATGGAAAACAGGACAAGACGACCACCTCGCCTTTTGCATCCTTTCGCAACGCCGCCACAAAGAAATCCAGTGTGGAAGTTGCGACATGATTTCTTGCGGTGGCAAATCTTGGCAAGGCAACAGCCGAAATTACAATGAACACCTCAAACTTTGAGTTCATGAGATTTTCGAAAGTTAAGCCGTTCACACACCATCCAATATTTCTAACCGAGTAATATTATTCATGGACAAATACATCAAGTTTTTACACGAACGTATCTCACAGTTCGCGCGCTTTTCACATTGAGATTTGTGGGGAAAATTTTCTATTTCATCCTGTTCGGCTTCTTGATTTTTTTTTTCAAATTCGCAAACAGTTTGTCCTCCATACTTTGTTCTTCATAGTAGGTAAAAGTCCAGGGCATGAAAGACTGATGAAATTCACGCTGAAATATAGTTCCAACGTAACTGAAAATGTATGAAAGTGGCAAAATAGACGAAAGAGCACCTCAATGCGCGGTGTGCACAGAAAATTGTGTGTGTTTTTTTGTATCCATAGTGACTCTGCGGCATGACTTTTTAGCGAAACGGTTTCATAACCTCAATGTTCCATCGCCACTCACTCTCGCATTTGTTGACTTCGAAAATATAATGCACACATTAGAGTGGTGGAGATTCCGCACCAAGTCCCCCCATCGACAGTATCTCTTGAGAGCTCCTCTCAAATTGCCATGGAGTTTCATGTTCATTTCACGATTTCTGTACTTCTCTCTCTCGCTCATTTTCTCTTCATTTCCCACTCTCGTGCGCCTCCACCGCACTCCCCTTTGACTTCACTCCCAAGCCTCGCGCAAGTATCTGGAATATCTTTGCTTTTTTCTCACTTTTTTTTGCCGTACTCCACAATCTTCCCATCCGACACCGAAGCTCTCGAGAGCCTCGCCATCGCGGATGAGGGGACACACAACCAGGCAAGGCATGGCGTTGCTCTATGTCGTCACAGTGATTCTTTGAGAGTTCCTTGATTATTATTTTAATGAAATTTGAGTTACATATGCGAGCGCGAGTCACCACTGAAGCGAGCGAAAAGCCTCCCCTCAACCCTCCCACATCGGCGAATATCACTGAGAAGTGGCTTCAAACCGCGGTATTGGGATTTATTTATAAAATTGATGACTCCGCATTCTCTTCGTTGGCGCAAAGCTCTAAAAAGAGAATACTATCTATGACGAACCGAATTCGCGCCTTATTTTTAGAGGCACTTCTGGCATGAATTCCTCCATTAATTTTCATCTTTTCCGCCACGAAAATTTCGGGACTTTAGATACATTTCTACTTTAAAATTACAGTGGATGGATTTTAGCAACAAATATATTTGTTCTGTAAAACCGTTAATCCGCCATTACGCGTCAATTGACAAAAGGAATTCAACAACAAATGCCTCACCACGTGAGGGAAGCGTAAAAAATGGCGTTTTCTTCTTTGACAGTGTGCCGAAAAAAAGAGAAATACCCACGTGAAAGGAAATGAACTTGAAATGTTGTGCTTTTCTTTTGGATTTTCAGCATTTCTCTTTCCATTGTGCCCTCTCAATTCAAGCCAAATATCTCTGACACACTCTCGCGAGAGAGTATGGAAAAAGGCCTCCTCTCGCACTTTAGTTTTCTTTTTCACCATCCAAAAACTCATCATTGTACACACAACAATAATAATGGTAATAATCATATTAATATTTTCTCATGAATGCACACGCAACATCGTGCGCTGAACTTTTTCTCCTCTCTTCCAACCCATCGCCAGCCAACATCATCGTCATCTCCTCTTCAATTTCATTCCATTCCCATCCGCCACACATCTCTCACCGGCCAAGAGAGTCATACAATTCTCGAAAAAGTGAACACACCACAAAATATTCGTCTTTCTGCTTCGCACACCATCCATGGACTCTGGTGTGACTCTCCCGCTCCGCCACCGGTGCCAGTCAGCATTTTCAGCATAAAACTCTCCTGAGCTGAAGAGACTCATGGCTATAGCAAACATTTTATAACCAACCAACACAAAGCGCCTGTGAAATAAAGAAGCGACAGCGCTCCAAACCCAAGAGTTTCTCTCTACCATTCCGTACAGTCACAATATTCACGAAATTACTTGCTGGCATATACACAAGCCCCACTATAGCTATATGCAGCGCATTGAGAGCATTGGTGAGCCTCTCTCGCCGAGCACTCCTTCCACCGTGGCCGGTGGAATTGAGAAGAGGCAAGCATGAAGAAGTCGAGAGGAGGAAGAGACTTCAAGAATAAGAATATTTTTCATGAAGAAGAACTCAACTATGAGAACATTTTGAACCGTTGCGGCTGGCCACTTTATGCCGCGATTAGTCCGAAGCTTCGTTCCACTCTAACGGTTTATATTTACACTCATTACAGAAACTAATCTTAATCTTGCCGCCAAATATCAAAAACTGCGCGCCAAAATCACACGAGGTAATTAGAAAAATGGAAGAGAATTCGCCCATATCACGATGAGAGAATCGGCTTTGGAGGAAGGAAAAAGTTGCCTGGAGAGTTCCCTCTTCATCCTCTCTCTCTGCCCAGGTCATCATCATGGATATGAAAGGAAGCCGAGGGATAACGGATGGACGGACCGAGAAACCTTTTTGGTCCTTTTTCCATGAAAATCATATCTTTTTCTGCCTTCCCTGCTTTTTTCGGGCTCGGTCTGTTGAATCCCTCACACAACACCCATGCTCATCACCAGGGGCAAACTGGAATTTCATTTCCCATGCGACTCTTCACCATTCCCCATTTCAGTCACAGGGTGTCTCACACTCAAATGGAGGGAAACGAAAATTTTGGAAATATTGCGGAAATTTTTCCAAAATGATAAATGAATTAGTGATTGCAAAAAACTTAGGCACCCCTTTAGTTTTTTTTTTCCTCCTTGTCCTATTCACCCTCCGTGCACACCCCATATCGGGACCCTATATATGAATATTCCATCGGAAAATGATGAAATGAGGGTTGAGAATAAGAAAGTCCCAGCCATTCCCAATTTGGACCTGTGCAGATGGGAGGGAAAAGTTACTTTTTATTTAGGTAGATGAGCAATCCCTGTGTAGGAAGGTTATGGCAATTGTTGGGATGGATCGAGGAGCGACCCAAAAAATCCCAGAAAACCCTCGAACCCTCTTCTGCCGAACACCATAAGGCTGACATGAGGAAATTTTACCATTGCGCCCATTGCTCGCATAATATCTCACACAGACCGAGACTGGTGGAGTTCCTGGGAGAGAAAGAATGGTTTTGTACCTGTCTCAGGAGGGTATCGTGTGAAGAGGAGAGCGGACAGAAAGGGACTTTCAAATCAAAGAGCAGAAAGAACAAATAAATATTGAGAGAACACTGTGGCATGTCTCCCACTGATTTATATGGCACTTGTTCTCACCGCAAGTACATTTTTATTACATTGTTATCTGCAATTCACCAGCTCTGATAGTCCTTATCATTGACTCATTCTCAGCAAACACACCTGCAAGCATGTGCGAGCAGAGAGAGTTGACAAATCCCAGCAATTGCACGCGAAATCTCATACGTTAGAATCTTAACTATTCTCAAATCTTCAGTGACATCTCGTCGGAGGTGTTGATAGCAAAAGAATATATCTTCCACATGGTTTGTCTATAAGGCAATATTGTATCGAATAATTCCACATCCACACCGCACATCCCCTTCAGTCCCCCCACAAATGCTATTCTGACAATACCCGTCCCAGCGCCATTCACATTCTCTCCATTCTATTAAATGTATGAAACCATCCACCCCATACAAATACATCCCATCCACCCTAGCACAGT